GTCCTTCCGCTGTGGTTTGAATGTGAACTGTTTCCAACAGGCTCATGCGTTTGAACTCAGTCGCTAGGTAGTGGTGCTTTCTAGGGAGGTTGTGGAACCTTCCGGTAATAGTTGGTGGGCCCAGGGCTCCGGGAATGCAGCTTGATGTTTGCAGGCTAGCTCTGCTTCTTCCTGAAGGCTGAATGCTCTGATCGCTGGCCCATAGGGATACAAGAGGCCACACACCACGGATGGAGCCCCAGCTGTCTCGCCTTCCCCATTGTGATGAACTCTGTACCCCCAGAGCCAAAATGACCCTTCCTACCCTTCTGCCCTTAAGTTGTCATTGTCTCATTGATGAGAAAAGAAACCAAGAGACCTTCTTGGTCTCGAATGGCTACTATTGTGCCCTCTTTTGGTATCTACATATGAGAGTGTTGTATTTGCCTTTCTGTGCCTGGTTCTTTTCAGTTAACATAAGGTCCTCTGCTCCCATTCATGTGATCAGTAAAAGGATTCGGTCCTTTGTGATGACACAATAATATTCCATTGCATATATGCACTGCATTGTCCTTAGTCGCTGTAAATGGACACCTTAGACACTTTCATTTCTTGGTTATTATGATAGTTTGACACTAATTCAAATTTTAATTACATTTGTTTAGTTATTGATTTGGGGTGGTACATGCTATGGGGTACGTGTGTGTGTGTGTGTGTGTGTGTGTGTGTGTGTGTGTGTGTGTGTGTAGGTAACAGAGCAGCTTTCAGGAGTTGGTCCTCTCCTCTCTTCCTGCGGAGCTTGGAGATCTAACTCAGGTTACCAGGCTTGGCAGCAAGCACCTTTACGGACCGGGTAATCTCGTCAGTGACTAGGACTAAACTTTTGGTCTCCTCTGTATGTAGACTCACCGAACAATGAAGGGAGCACGCTTGTTTTGGGTTTTTATATTGAATTCCTAAAACACACGGTAACTCTTTTTGGGTTTGCCAGGCAAGACCGGAGTAGTCGGGCTGGGGATGTAGGGCTGGGGATGTCGGGCTGGGGATGTAGGGCTGGGGATGTAGGTCAGGCGTTAGAGTGCTTGCTGACCACGTATGAAACTTTGGGGTTTGATCCTCCGCGCGGCATAAAACAGGTGTGGTTTTACCGTATACCTGCGATCCCAGCATTGAGGAGGGGAAAGTGGGAGGATTGGGAGTTTAGGGTCGTTACTGGCTACATAGTTAGTTCAAGGTTATTGGGCCATATGAGACCCATCGCCCCGTTCCCCCCCAAAAAAATTAAAACATCACACACCAAACTTTTTTAAATTTTATAACTCTTTTAACAACAAAATTAAAAATTAAAAGACAAAAAAGTAAGTGTGGGGACTGGAGAGATGGCTCAGTGGTTAAGAACATCGGCCATTCTTCCAAAGGGCCCGGGTTTAATTCCCAACACCCACATGGCCACTCACAGTTGTCTGTAACTCCAGTTTCAGGGGACTGGCATCCTCACACAGACATATATGCAGGCAAAACCCCAATGTACATAAAAAATAAATAAATCTTTTTTTAAAAAAATTAAAGTGTTTGTGTGTGTGTGTGTGTGTGTGTGTGTGTGTGTGTGTGTGTGTGTATTTTGCCAGAGAAAACTGAAGGCCAGTGGGTGAGGCACTGGCTGCGAACCTGATGACCTGAGTTCAACACTGGAACCCATGTAAAGGTGGAAGGAGGGAGAGGAGTCCACAAAGCTGTCCCCTGGCCTCCGCATGTGTGCAGTGGCATGAGCACACACTCCCATACACACATGCACACAACACACAATAATGGTAAAATCATAAAACATGAATTGATAGCGACACCGAAGAAAGAATTCTTCTGTTGGAAGCAGAGGCCTGTGCTCTTGATGGAGAAACTGAGGAAAGCGTGTAAGCAGCAGAAGGAAGCAAAGGGAATGAACAAATGGGAAAGAGTGGCCATCTACGCAAACACTTTATCACCATTTAAATTACTTTTCTGGTGCACATTAGTGGCTGCAAAAGTTAGCTATACTTATTTCCCTTGCAAGGTTCTGTTCATATACAAGTATTGCTTATAATGGTTAAAGCGGCAGACCTGAGAAAAAAATGCACTGGACAGGGCGTCTCCCTAGCTTCTTCTCTGAAAGGACACGTGGCCTGGTTAGCCCCATCCTAAGAGGAAGGTGCTGTGTGCATATCTACCCTTTCCGTTTCAAAAACATAGTCTGTTCTGAATTTGGAAGCACAGCTGTCCCCATGGTCTCGGACAGGGAATGAGGACTGGTAATACCCAACCTGCTGGATTATGGTCAGGGCTAAATGAGACAGCACATGGGAAAGTCCTGTTCAGTTCATTCTCTCTCCCTCCCACTCCCTCTAATTATGCTTTCAATGATTTATTTGAGGGGGGCATGGCAGGCGTGTGGAGGTCAGAGGGCACCCTGCATGAGTCAGTTCTCTCTTTCCATCATATAGGTTTCTGAGAAAAACCTCAAGTGGTCTGACTAAGTGGCAGTGCCTTTACCCAGTCTACCGGCTCAACTATTATGTTGGCCCCCTATTTAGTTCTTTACAATGGATAATTATTATTGCTAGGAAAAATGATTCATTTTGATTGGTAATTCTTGCAAGGTGAGGAAGACGATGTGAGAACACACAAGACAAAGGGAACAGATGCTGCAAAATTTATTGTGGGACAGTGACGGATATGTTCTGGGAATGTGAAATGAGAGAGAGGTATTGGAGCCATGGCGGCCTGTAACCCCAGCACTTGGGAGGCAGAGGAAGATAATTTTCTATGGGTTCGATGCAGCATGGTCTACATAGCGAGTACCAGACCAGCCAAGGATGCCTAGCAAGACTTTGTCTCAAAAACCAACCAACCAACAAACACATAAGTAAATAAATAAAGTAGTATTGGGACTGGAAAGATGACTCGGTAGTTAAGAGAGCTTGCTGCTCTCGCACAGGACTTGAGTTCGGTTCCTAGAATGTGTGCCAGGCAGCTCACCACTGCCTCTAACTCCCAACTCCAGAGGATCTGACCTCTCAGGGCCCCGGCACTCACCTGCACATACCTACACCCAGACACAAATGCATACACACAATTCAAATGAAAGAATGAATGGACGGATTTTAAAAAATGCACATTTACAGGTGGTGTTGAGAGGAGGCTAGAAAGTTAGGTCAGGGCTATGGATTGTAGGTGACTTGGCTTGTTTATATGTCATAGTGAGGTAACTCTAAGGTTTGGCAAGATCTTATCAGTTGGTGACCACAGTAGATGAGTTGAGGTGTGTGTTGGGGGGGGAGGGAGTGGAGCTCATGGTGTGGGGAGTAGAGCTGCTGATACGGGGGATGGGGAGACTTACCAGCATGTTCTGGCAGGGCCTGAGTTAAGATTTTTTGTTGTTGTTTTATTTTTTGTTTTTTTGACAGGGTCTGTTTATGCAGCCCTGGCTGGCCTGGAACTCAGAGATCCGCCTGCCTGCCTGAGAGAGAGCAGGTTTTTTAAAGTTACAGTGTCTGGGTGCGGAGTCACTAGGACTGGGAAGGCAGGAGTAGGTGAGTGTCCATTCGGCCTGCTGGCCAGCAAATTCAGTCTAATTGGTGAGGCCCAGGCCAATGAGAAACCTTGTTTCAGAAACAAAATTGGAGCAACTAAAGAATGATAGCTGAGGTTGTCTTCCGGCTTCTGTGTGTGCGTGTACACACACACACACACACACACACACACACACACACACACACACACACACACACACACACACACACACACACACACACACACACACAGTTGCAGTAAACTTCCAACATCCAGCTTGTCATTATTAGGGACTGTGCTTTCCATACTCTTGGAATCGTAGAAAGATAGCAAGAAGGCTGGGTGTAGTGGCCCATGCCTTTAATCCCAGCATTTGGGAGGCAGAGACAGCTAGATCTCAGTGAGTTTGAGGCCAGCCTCATCTTCAGAGAGAATTTCAGGACAGCCAGGGCTACACAAAAAAATCCTGTCTTGGGGCAAAACAACAACAACAACAACAACAACAAAAAAAAAAAAAAAAACCAGAGAAAAAAAAAGAAAGTTGGCAAGAAGCCCAGAGGACATTTGAGAAGTAACAAGCTCCTGGCCTAAGCAGGAAGCTCTGCTTGGTTATGACGTAGGTTGGATTTTGCAGGCTGGCTCAGAGATAAGACAGGTGAGCTAAATGTTGACAGGTAGGCAGTAGAACTTGGTGGAAAGCCATGGAACAGTGCAGGCCAGTGAAATGTTGTTGTTAAAGCCCAGATGCTTTTCCTTACCGACATTGCAAGTTTCCCGTAAACTGGGAAGGCTTGTAGCCCAGCTCGGTCTTCACTCCGGATTTCCCACTTTGCCCTGATGCTGCTGGAACATTCCTTTGTGGTCATCAGACGTGAAAAACGGTGAGCATGTGCAATCTTTCTTTTAAACATCAGCACACCAGCTTTCCCTTCTGTCTCCTACCTATTTTAGTGTCAATATTTACTGCATGCCTTTGGGGACTTTTGTTTGTCTTTGGAGATAGCCAAGGCTAGCCTTGACTTTCTGTGTAGCAACAGCCTGGATTCCTGACCCTGCTGCTGCCACCTCCCCGATGCTGGGATCACAGGACCGTAGCACTGTGCTTGACTCATACCTTCATTTTTTTTAAACACCAATTCCCCTCGTGACAAACAGCCTGGCATTTTAAGCTAGTAACATCATGCCTAGAGATGCTGAAAGACCGGTGGATTCCACAAGGCTGGCCTAAAAGCCACCTCCCTCCTTCCACAAAACAAAAGGAACCCTGGAGCAAGATCATGGCTCAGACTATGCTGGGTATTTGCTGTTCCCTGGCTTCTTAGCACCCAGCCCTTCTGGGTTCTTAGGAACACTCTGCATTCCTTGTTGGTAATTGTTTTGGCCCTCCCGGCAGCCATCAGGATAGTCTGTTAATTAATGAGGCCTGCCTTGTTTTATTCTGGGCCAGTGCATCTTGAACCAGGTAACTCGAGTGCTGTCGAAGAAAACTGGAGCAGGATTTATTTTGACAATGGTGTCTGAGCTCCTAGATGACTGTCTGTCCCTGGGGAAATCCGGGGTTGTTCTTCCTGAACCTTGTTTTTCAGATGACTTGTTCTGCATCTTTCAAATACATTCTTTCTGGTCTTAGCCAGAGTTGGTTTCTCCTGTTAAAAACAAAACAAAACAAAACAAAAACAAACAAAATTAAAAGCTGCGGCTGGTCAGATGGCTTAGTGGTGAAGTGTTTGCTGCTCCCCCAAAAGACCAGCACCCATATTGGTAGGCTCATAACCTCCTATAACTCTAGCCCCAAAGGATCATATGGCTTCGTCAGTCCTCTATAGATACAGCCCCCCTCCCCCCCCACAATCTCTATAAATAAATAAAGACAACTCAGTTTCTGACACAATCTGAAAATGTTTACAATTATCTGGCAAATTTATCTGCATTGACTGGAGAAATCAAGACTGAGAAAAATGGATTGAGAGCATCCAAGGAGGGGGCTGGCGGTGTGACTCAGGAGTAGAGTCTATGCCTTCTGTGCGTGAGTGTCAGGGCCTGAGTTTGGTCTCCAGCATGGTCTTCCTCCTGAGAAAGAGGAAAGAAGAAAGGAGGGGAAGAAGAAGAGAAAAAGAAAAGAAAACATGCACACTTATGAGCTACCAGAACCAGGTATGGTGTGCATACCTGTAATTTTGCCTTCAGAAGTCTGAGGCAGGAGAATACGAGTTCAGAGCTACCTTGAGATAAATAGAAAGTGAGAAATCAGCCTGTGCAATATCATGATGAATCCGGACTCTGAATAAATGATAGTTTATCGGTTGTCCTTACGTTTAATCAAATCGCCGCCCACATAGCGGCTCACATCAGGCCCTGGAGAGTCACCCTTGATATGTAGCCTTATTATACTAGATCTGCTTTCTAGCTGGATCCTGTTCCACTCCATTCTCTGTGCCCAAGAAACCGTTTATCGAGACTATGTGGAGGAGGCTACTGTGTTTTCTGGCTTTCTTTTGTGCTTGGCCTTACCTAACTCTTAGGAGTTAGGCCTGGGTAGAAGTCCTCTTTCTTAGTCTCTGGCAGCATTTGCCTCAGCAAGACTGTGCCTAGTGTTTTGCTGGTGAATGTGTACCCTCTGGCTCTGAAAGCCAGAGAACATTCTGATGTATAGTATTTGGTTCCTACAATACCGAAGGGCACAATATTCCCAACATGCCTGATTGATGCCTACACCCATGACCTCACTAGACACAGAGTGGCAAACAATGCTAACGCTCATCTGTGTGGCAGGCAGTGAGCTGGTTCCTGAATCTGACTGGCTGTGTGTCTCCTGTGTGACTCCTCTCATGATCTGTTCTCCAAGCTTCTCTCTTTCAAAGTTTCAGAAACTCATAGTATCCCATGGTGGTCTTCCTTACCCTACACATACTGTTTTGTAAATTGCCCATGGTCATTAACTTCCACAGCAGCCTTCAGTGACGCTTTCCTCCCTCCTGGTATTTCTGTTCCTTATATTGTATCAGATTTGATCAGTGTGATCTATAGAATATGGCAGAAGTGATGGCATGTCCCTTCTGATACTAACTAGGTCAGTAACAATCTTGATTGGATTGAGAAATACCTAGGAGTTAGTAAAGCCATACTTCTGGGAGAGCTCATTTTCAGAAATAGTAAACTAAGGTAGAGAAGATCCGTCCTGAATGTGGGGGTCATCATCCCATAGACTGGTAACTGGAAATAAAATACGAAAGAAAGAGAAAGCCCATGAGTACAGGAATCCTCTCTTCCTGACTGTCCTGATGTAAGTCCTTTAACTTTGCAATATCTCCATGATGACTGAAATCTCTGAAACTGTGAGCCAAAATGAGCCCATCTTGTTAGCTAAGGTATTCTGTCCCAGTGACAAAAGTGGTTACCACAGAAAATTGTTAAGTAAGGTCATTACTGTTAGTGTTCCAGCAATGTTAGAACTGGTTTGTGTGGGCAGTCTAGAATAATTTGGAGTCCTATAAGCAGAACTTAACAGAAGAAAGTCTGTAGAGGTCGGAAATGGTGGTGGGGCTTCCGAAGACCTCTAGGGCTCCTATCTTACAGCCACAGTGAACCCCGGGTGCCAGACATGGGCCTGTGGGACTTGGTGTTTGCTTTGCTGGGTTTTGGCCTTGCTTTGCTCTTCTCTGCTCTGCCCTGTCCTGCTCTTCCTTCCTTCCTTCCTTCCTTCCTTCCTTCCTTCCTTCCTTCCTTCCTTCCTTCCTTCCTTCCTTCCTCCTCCTCCCTCCCTCCCTCCCTCTCTTCCTCCTACCCTTCCTTTCTGTGTGTACATGTATGTGTGTGTGCATGTGTATTCTCTTTTTAAAAAAATTACTTATTTGCGCGTGCACATGCGTGCATGCGTGCGTGCGTGTGTGTAGAGGTATGTGTATATGAATGTAGGTGCTCACAGAGGCCAGAAAAGGGCATCATATCCTCTACCACTGGAGTTACAGGTTATTTGTAAGCTACTTGATAGAGATTCCGTGAACCAAATTTTGTTTCTCTGGAAGAGTAGAAAGCACTCTTAACCACTGAGCCCTGGCTCCAGCCCTTGGGCCTCTCTTGTAACTCAACTCTCTCCTTTTGAAATGGAAACATTAACTCTATGCTATTTTTTATTGGAGGTGTATAATTTTCTTGCTTTTTCCACAAGGATTCACAAGCTAAATGTTGCCCTTGAGTCTTGAAGGGAACTTTGAACTTGGGGTTTGAACAATTTTGAGACTGTGAAGACTATGGAGACCCCTGGAGGTGAGCTAGATGAATCTTGATTTATGAGGGGGACATGAGCCCTTTAGGGTCTAGGGGTGAAATATTGTGGTATAAAAAGATGTATTGGGGTGACAAGTTAACCATGGATGAATTTCTGATGATTAATCTTGGTTGTCAGCTTCATTGGATTGAGACATGCCTAGGGATTTAAGTAAAACTCTTCTCTAGCCCGGTGGCGGTGGTGGCGGCGGTGGTGGTGGTGGCGGCGGCGGCGGCGGCGGCGGCGGCGGCGGCAGCGGCAGCGACTCACGCCTTTAATCCTAGCACTCAGGAAGCAGAGGCAGGTGGATCTCTGTGAGTTCAAGGCCAGCCTGGTCTACAGAGTGAGATCCAGGACAGCCAGGGCTACACAGAGAAACCCTATCTCGAAAAATCAAAAAAGAAAAAACAAATAAAAATCTCTGTGAAGACTTTCTAGAGAATATTAACTAAGAAGGAAAGAGTTCTCAGGTGTGGGGCTGGAGAGATGGCTCAGAGGTTAAGAGCACTGACTGCTCATCCAGAGGTCCTGAGTTCAATTCCCAGTACCCACATGGTGGATCACAACCATCTGTAATGAGATCTTGAACCCTTGAACCCTCTTCTATATACATAATAAATAAATAAATAATTCTTTAAAAAAAAAAGAGTTCTCAGGTGTGGGAGACATCATAGCATAGGTTTACAGGGTGTAAGCTGCTTTATACTCTGCCATGCCTTCCTCACCATGATGGACCAAAACCTCTGAACACATGAGCAGACTAGACCCCTCTTCCGTAAGCTCCTTCCCTAGGCATTTATTAGAATGACAAGAATCTCACAGGTGTCCCTAAGCCACATCGCAGCCCCTCCCACTCATTCTTTCATGGACTCACATCAAAGGAATCCAGTTTCCATGGCAAGCAGCCACACAGAAAGAACCTGGGAGGCCTGTGAACAAAAATGTGAAACTGGAAGCATGTCCTCCAGCTCCAGCCCATGTTTAGAAGACCCTGCACCTACCAATAGCTTAGTTTGTGAGAGACTGGAACAGAACTAGGTAAGCTCCTGTGTCCAGAGTTTTTTTCTTGACACAGAGTCTCACTTCGCTATGTAGTCACAGCTATGGGGCCTGGAACTCACTGTGTAGACCAGGCTGGTCTTGAACTCACGGTGATACTTTTGTCTCTGCTCCCAAATGCTGGGACTGTAGGTGTGCCCTCATATGCACAACTATAATTATTGTTCAAAGTCAATACATTTGGGGGTAACATTTTTATCAATAATAATGAAATCAACCATCCTAACTGATACTCCACTTCCTTCATACTATAAATCCAAGCAGTTACTTCCTAAGTATGACTTACCTGTCCACTCTGTCCCTTCTCAAATGCCAACACCATTGCCCAAGTCTGGACCACTACAATAGATAATTGAGTGGCCTTGCTGACTACCTTGCTGGGATGATCCATGAAGGCTGTGGTTAACATTTTTACTAAAATTCTTTCCTGGAGATTCATGTTTCATAGTGTTAATAGAAAACTGAGACAGGACCTCATTATGCAGCCCTGGCTGGGTTTGGATCTCAAAAGCGTACAGATCAGGCTAGACTTTAGTTCACAGAGATCTATCTACCTCTGCCTCCTGAGTGCTAGGATTGAAGGTGTGCACTGCCATATCCAGCCTTAAGAGAAAAATCTTCATACGGCTTTTAAAACCTGGACCATCACCAGCCTTCTCTACCACTAATTTGTCCCCGGCCACTCTCATGCTTAGCCAACTTCCAGGTTCTACTTTCATTCACTTACTTTCTTTTTCTGGAAAAAAAAAAGATCTATTTTATTTTTAATTATGTGACTATATGTGTGTATGTCACATGTGTATGGGTACCCAAGGAGGCCAGAGGCATCAGATCCCTTGAAGCTGGAGTTGCAGGTACTTTCTGAGTTGACATTCCCTCTTCCCAGATGATCTGAATTTGTGTCAAGTTGACAAAAAACTAACCAGCTCAGGAACTTAAAAATATCTCTGTGAAGTACACAGTATTAGTTCTATAGTAAATATAAACTTAAGGAAGGTTGTAAGAGACATACTTAGGAAAAGCTTCTAATATGGACTAAGAAATGTTCTATAAGACAGGATAAAATAACAGCACTGAAAACTATTTTTAGGGATTTGAAGGGAAAGATCATATTTGAGAGAAATCCAGAAAGGCTTTTGTAGAGAAATCTGTTAAGGTGTTTAGAAGGAGAAGTGCGGAAGCATACACTTTGATGGGTGGATAGCTTTGAAGAAGAATTGAGAAAAAACATTTGTGAAGCAATTAATGGTAACAATCACAAGCTGCATTGCAGAATGCTGACTTGAGGTAGAGGATTGTTCCCAGATAGCTAGGATGCTT